CCTTGCTTTCTTCCTGGTTAAGAGCACAGAAGGGCTGTAATTCCAGTGATTCAGAATGTTGCATCAGCAGTTAATTTTAGCTGCTGGTTTCAGCATTCTGACAAAATGATGAACAGTATTGAGATAGACTGAGGGCTCAACTACACAGGAATGTAGCAAAGAGAGGGGTGAATACATTCTTCCATTTCTGGAACAAAGCCATCTCATCATGTCGTACCCTCACTAAGTGTGGCTAGATTTGTCTTCTGTTCAGTAGTCTATGAGGCCTATTTAATATTCAATAGTGACCTTAATTTTTATTTCACAAAGTTGTCATTGTCTATGTTTTGAGCTGACAAAAATAAACATGGTGCTGTGATGCTGGCGCTGTTGTCATCCAATTTCTATTTGCATGTGGGTGTCTTAATCAGAAAAGAACTAAACATTCTGTTTGAGTTTGAGGAATATTTTTGTGGTTTTGTGCTTTCAGTTGCACATGATCACTGTGTTCCAGGGGTGCATATCCTGTATACTGTATATTGAATTGTATTGAAGATGATTTGCACTGGTATATTAGACATTATGGTATGTGGCAATAACCATTCTGGAAATTTACAAATAATTAGCAATTAGCATTCAGCTATTCAAATAATTCCAGATGTAATTTTTCCTATGTCTGTTTAATTGGACTACTATGTCTATGGCAAACAGAGAGAAGTAAACTAAGGGATGTAGACCTCTAACCACAGAAAACAGATCAATACATCTGTGTCAGAACAGCCAAACGATAAATTGCAGGAAAGACTGCTTCTAGTAAAAGGCATCCCAGGGGGAATGCTCTTTAGGATGTTCCTGCATGAATAATTCAGAGGCTGTTTTTTAAATGTCCTCATACCTTTCACATTTTTAATTACTTCTGCATAATGCATACCAATTATCTGTGTGGAATACAACTTATTTTTGTATCAGCTTCACACCATGTTGTTGCAGTTTGAAGTCTTTTTCTTTAATTGGTGATGTCAGAATACAACCTCTAACAGATAACTGTTAAAGACCCACCATAAGTGAGACTGGAGCTCTCTTAAGAAGGGATCTCTGTTGTGTTGGATCTTAACACTAGGATGCAGGGTATTCAATGGTAGACCACCTGGGGATAAGAATTCACACCTCTCCAGAGTGTTATAATTTTTAACAACATTCTTTATTTCTGAACTTTTGTAGAGGAATTATTTTTTTTACTATGTCATTATTGTTTGTTACAACTAAATAAAGTAAATCTTTTGAAAGCTCTAACAATGAGTAGAAAGTATTTTTCTCATACTATATGTGGCTTCTCAAACAAATTACAATTATTTTTGTGTATTCCTCTTGGACGAATCCCTTTAAAAGGACAACATAAGAATGCACAGAAATCTTGAAGAAAAAAGCTACAACATCTTGTTTCTGACTTTATTGCATCAGGGTTCCAGAGAGGTAGCTTAAAAAAAAGTCTGCAATTAATGTTTAAAGTTTATAGTACAGAATGATGCAGCTGCTGTTTTAGCCCTGTGATACTCCCTATCACAATTTGTGTTTTGCACAATTTCAGCAAGGCACAAGTGCAAAGAAAAGACGAGAAAGGCTATTGCTTGCTATTTCCATAAAAAAAGATATTTAATTTCACATTTAATGATCTTAATTTAGAGCCCTGGGACTTCTTAATGTGATTGTCTCTGTACAGTAACTCATCTTTCCAGCCATTAGCTATTTGCCTGCCTTTCATTTTGTAAGCAAAAGTGAAAGCCTTTGTGCCAAATAAAAAAAAGCATATGGATATAAAAGTAAATTAACCTTACAATATCAGAAAAGGAACATACGGTATATGCTTCCATCTATTACTGAGTTAGCTCGACTCAGTAGTGAAAGCAGACTGTTTTATTTGGCATTGCTGTAATTCAGTAGGCCTGGCAATACTATGAAATTGAAACTGTTAAGGAGATATCTGTTCAATAGATGGTGTTACATTTGGCTGTATTAAATAACCTGTACATTTAATATTATAAACTGTCATTGAAATGAAGCCCATTGTTAACACTCAGTAGATGATAAAATCCGTCTCTTGCCATTAAGACATTCCATATTGCTTGAAACTCAAGAAGGTTGATATTAAAAGCATCCACAAAGCTTTTGTTTAGCCTTAACTTCCCACTCTCTTTGTACACATGCAGTGCATTCTGCTGTGTCTTCTCTGTTACCCACTATCTTATCAGTTATAAGTCCTAACTCTGTGCCTCATTCTTTGAGCTCTGTTTGGTTAATCCTTCAAACAAATCCCCAGTGGTCTTTGAACGGTGTTTTATTAAACTTTTCAGAGATACAAATGAACAAATTGATGAACAAAAAAGCAAAGAAAAATGCCCACACCCATTTGTCTTATATCCAATAACATGTCCAAATTCCACTGGGTCTAACACTCTGTTAATGATGCATGCTGTTTGTCAGCAGCTCACTTTTGTACACAGAATAGAAACCTCCTTTTTCATGTCGTGCTGAGTCATTGGGTAAACTGCTGCTTTTTCTTAAGCAGGGCTACTTCATCAAAAACTTAAGACCAAACTGTAGATTAATTTAGCTTCCACAATTGACTTTTTGTGTCACCAATTGTCACCTGGGAATTAAAGTGAATTCCAAGTTTTGAGTTTCAGCAAAAAGAGAAGTAATACAAATAGGTAAAACCAGAACCTCTTTCTTTGTAAAAATGACATCACGGTCACTTTGCTGACATAGTGAGTACCGTATAGTATTTTCTTCCCATACTTTAAAACAAAGAGCAGAAGACCATGCATTACGTGAATAAGTACACTGGATACACTGGACTGGAGCATGTCATAAACAGTTCAACACAAGCCACACCACACAGTTCTAGGACGTCTACACAAGAGCCAACCTTCTGATTACTAAAACAAAGACAAATCACTTTTATACTAAGGCACATATTGATTAAGTCTGAGAAAGGCATGCAAGTCATAGAACAGTGGTCCATGGCCAGCAACATAAATGGCAGTAAGCATGGAAACTGATTCAAGTGATCTCCTACAAACTGCACTTCCCAGCTGTTCCCCTTGGCTGTTTAATCCCGCCTGCTGGGGGTACGTCATTGTTGTGGATGAGGCCTCTGTCAGTCAAACTGTTATCCCTATTTTTGCCTTGACTAAAATTCTTACAATGACTAGAACATATCTGAGAAAAGAAAGTTCTCTTTCTCTTTGCTCTCCTTTTATCTGAAAATCACAATGTAAGATAATGCACTTGATGTAAATATCCTTGAACAGAAGGTCTCCAGTTTTAGTATTTCAGTGTGTTTCTATTTCTACAATACAGAGATGTTTCAATGGCAACTTTGTTAGATTTAACAAGAGATACCAAGTCATGGTAATTTATGGAATGTTTGGTAATGCGCAGAGAGAGCTAACTGAGTCTGTGATTCTGCTTAATTCTCTTGGAAAGAAAGTAGGAGTGAAAAAATCTCAGGTGATTCAGTTACTGAGAATTTTCTTTTGCTTATTTTTCAGCATTTCCTCTCTACCTGACTCAGTGATCCGTGATCCTGTTAATGTAACTCTAGAAAATGTAGATCAATTATATCACACTGCAACAAAACTACACCTGAACTGACTCAGCTTCTTTTTAATGCGCCTTCTGATGGTGACATGAGAACCTGGCAAGCATTTGAAAATGAGGAGAATTGCTAACTAGTTATTTTTCTCCTTTGGTGCCTGCTTAACTGTATACTTTAATAATTTTGTTAGGGCAAACAGTCAGGGCTAATTATTGTTTCTAGTGATTCATGTTTTATACAAATACGAAAAGTAAAAAGCACCTTTAATTCAACTGTTGTTTATTGTGATATAAACATATTTCTTGGCTTCAGTTCTCTTTGATTGTGACCGCAGACAACACAAGATACCCTCTGCTTGTTTTCCAAATAGTCTGGCATGAGCTTGGAGGTGATGGCAGTGTGTGTCACATTGTGGGATTATCTTTCCTGCTGTCTGACTCACTTAAAGAGCTGGAACTTCCAGGCTTTTGGGCATGAGAACACACACATTGCACACAGCTAGCTCCATCTGGTCAGCTAACAGATTATGAAGCAAAGTCAGTTGAAATCATTTTTCCAGAGGAGCGAAGTCCCAGGAATGTATAAAATATCTGGTACCATGAGGTTAGAGAACTGAAAAAAATCCTTCTGAAAAGCAAACAAGTTAAACTTCAGGAGTGAATCTGATGTGCCATTCTCTTTATGAATGTGAATAAATGTTAATACATTTAAAATACATTTAAGAAGGTAAATTGGATCATCTCCTCAACGCTTTCTCTTCAAAAAGTGCATAGTAAAGTATATTATCTGGGAGTGAAGTATAATGATCATCATTATTTCCTACTTTGGCAGTGGAGAAGAGTTTTGTTATTTCAGTAATCCAAAGACGATAAAAGAAAACAAAACCAAAATAAATATATATATAGTTAGAGTGTGCTATTTAATTAACCTTAAACCAATGAAAGATCAATAAAAATGATTTACATTCAAAATCAATCCCAGAGCAAAGGCAACACAGGCAAGAATTTAGTTATTTAGTTATTTTCAGGATATGATTTCAATTAGTCTCCCATTCTGATCTGAGAAATTATATTTCCTTGGTATCTATGATGTAATTAACCTATTACATTATTTTCTGACTGTATTTCTGTACTTTATATTTGCTTACTTTCTGCAATTCAGACAGCCAACATGGAAGATATAAAATTAGGCCCATCAGCATACATGTTCATTCCTCTGCCATGATAACAAGGATGAAAATATGAAATAACTTTTATTTCACTGGTATATTCAAACTAAAATAAATAAAAAATCCCCCCTGTCCTTATGAAGGAGTGTCTCCTACATACTACTCTAAAACCATGGTTCTGATGACTGCCTAATTCTATCATTCTGGTTTTCCTACCACTTAAATACAAAGTGTATTGTTTCTCCTATTTCTTAGTTTCACAAATGGTTATTGAGGAAGTGAGCGTTCTGCAGACGCAGCTGGAGATTGAGAAGTCCTGCAGAGAAAATGCAGAAGCTTTGGCAACGAAGGTGAGCACAGTTATCATGCTGTCATCCCAGCAGATTGCACAATTCTGTAATCACAGTGTAATCACAACTGTAACATCATCAGGAAACACCTAGCTTTGCTTTAGAGATTGATTTTGATAAGCACTCCTCACGTCAGTTTCAAACAGTGTGAGGTCACCTACAATGTAGAAGGAACAGCTACCATTCACTTGCGGTTGCAGCCAGCACAGGTATGTGGTACAGTATCTCTGATCAACTTAATTTTGACCTTATGTGTGGGTAAAGGACAATACGTACTGGTTTTGTTATATCAATTATTCATGCCAACTCTTATGTTTTCATGGGCATATGTAAGGATACAGAACTGAATGATTCTTAATTCCGGTGCGACTTTTTTTTTCAAATATATTTAAAATTTGGAATGTTTTTTTTCTATCAGTCACCCAGGACTTTTCCTAAGGCCTCACATTGTATTTGTGAGGATAGCAGGATGCCACCTGTTTTCATTACCGTCCCAGAGCTCGGTTGTATTTGCAGCTTAACTGTGAGAATAGGAAGCTGAAATACCTCAGCCTGACATCAAGGCCCTGTCTGGATGAGCTCCTGCCCAGCATCTCGGACTGCATTGCACTGGAAGAGGAAGCTGAGCCTCAGGACCCTAGCCCTGACCCCTTCACCCAGTACCAGCAACAGGTCAAAGGTCTGCACCTGCATTTTTATAATGTGACACAAATACTCTAGCCTACTGTTTTCAGGACCGAGGTCTTTCCTTACCTGAGTCTAATTTACATTCAATCAGGAAGAGCTAGCTCTACCCAACAGTTACACCCATTAGAAAGATTGTTGTTTTTGTTTCTGTGTAGTGCTGCACCTTTTGCATTAGAAACTCAAGAGAGGCTTTCCTGATCTGGCAGGAAAGAATGTGTATCCATTGCACTGGGGACACTGATAAGACCCAAATGATGGATAAACTCTGCACCACATGCAATAAAGTGTCACAGAGTAGGTGGAGTGCAGAAATTCTCCAACACCCCAATAACAGAGGATTAACTCTCTACCTTGTTAGTTATGCATGTCATGAAAATGCTCTCATTATCTGATAATTACTGTACCTTTCTGTTCTATCTTTGATAAAATTACACTGAAATTTTAACTACCATGGCTAGAATCACAACAGGGAGACAAGTCTATCAGAATGTAAAAATGTAATAAATATATATATAAATAACCTGCAAACAAGTGCTTTTAATCATTACTTCAACATGAAAAATTATTTCTTATGTAAATCCAGAGAAAAAGCCGTAAGTTCATGCTCTGCTCATTCCTGTACATACTTGCCAATGAACCATGTAGCATTGAAGGTGACTCTATGTTTTTCAGACCTACAGGAGACTGTGAGCGTTCTGCTGGAAGAAAAGAAACAGCTCACCTGTCAGCTGCAAGACCAGCAGAGCCAAATTGAAGAGCTGACCGCACGTGTGAGTGCTGGACATGTGTGAAATATGAATGGAACAAGTCTCCATTAAGTCAGTCCTGTTCTGGGGAGCAGGGTAATTGAGGGAGAGCTGAAGAGTAGAGCTAGACTCTAGCTGTGTGGCTTCACAGTACTGTTTTGAAATAGCGAATTGGTAGGTTTTAATTGCATCTCATTACTTATTTAAAATAGAAACTGTGAAAGCAGAATGACTATTTTAACTAAATGTGAGTGAACTGAAATATAAGGGCTTATCTGTTATTTTTAGAAGGTTTCACACATAATTAAGAAGAATGACTGTGGTTAAGAACAGTACTAATAACAACTGCCCCTTTTTGCAGCTGGAAGCCTAGTACTTTGTGAACTGGGTATATCCTGGTCCATATGATGTACAGGATCTGTCCTTAAATAAGTGGTACCTTTCTGGTTAGTTAGCTCCTGAATAGTGTCTTTATCGGGGAGCATATTTAGCAAAGGTAGAAGACTTATTAGAAATGAGCAAATATTGTAGAGCAGCCACTGGTTTTCAGGGGCATAGTAGTTTAATGTACGTTAACTCTGATGTTTCAGATTGAAAAGGATCAGGCTGAGATGAAGGAACTCCATAAAACTGTTGAGCAGCAGAGCAAGACTATCAAGAGGTTCAACAGAGGTGAGAGTCAGTAATGTCGGGCTCTGTTGAAACTGCAGTTTTGTTCATACACAAAAAAACACTCCCTCTTTAGGAGTTCCTCCTTAAACTGCAGCCATTTGGTTTTGCCATTCTCATATTTCACCAAAAATGATCAGCTTTAGGTTCAAATGTTAATGGCACTGGTAGCTAATGTAATGTACTTTCTGCTAGTTAATTGGATAATTCATTTAAAAGACTCCTTGCAACACTTAAAGGTTCATCTATGGAGGCATTTTGATTTGATTTAAGGGTGTTTTTCCTCAGATGGCCTGTAAGAACTATTTATTAAAAAGTCATTAGAAACATTTTCTCAAATGATCAATTATGCCATCTTACTAAATATGTTTTAAATTGCTGTTTATGTTCTATTAAGTATTGAAGTCTGTGACTGACCTCACTTTTCTACTAAATATTACATTAGTAGGAGTATAAAATAATACTCATCACAGGCCTGTTCTGTGTAATCTGTCGTTTTTAAAGATTGTCACTGCTTTTCAACTAGTCAGCTCAATTGATTGAATCATTTCCCTGGGCGACAAACCGTAACTAGCTGATGTCATATTGATTTTTTTACTCAGGGTTTTCTTCATTTATTCTTGATCTGTAAAGAGACTAAGGAATCTTTAATGAGGTTTGATAAGAAGGTGTACCTTTGTACTGACATGAAAGAAGCAAATTTAAGGAATACTGGAGCTATATCTTTTCCATTGAAGAATTCTAAAAGAATGATACAGTATTTTAACTGCTTGAGGAAGATTATCTTTGACAAACATCAAAGGTGGAACCTTTTGATCAACATATGTCATACTGTAGTTATTAGTTTTTCTTAATTTGGAACAGTAGACCTATAAACATGCAAAAATAAAAATAATAATTCAACAAGGTTGAATGAAAAGGGGAAAACAAAACACATCAAACAATTAATCTCATAGAAAATGTGACACATGCAGCCTAGTTTAACTTGGATGCCAAACATTCTACTGTTTGGTGATGGTCCAGCCTGTAATTTTCTACTGAAATAATTCCTGGATTTTCCCTTGCATAACCAGACCATCTTTAAATAGTATTGATTTCTTTTCTTGGAGTTTAGTGCCACAGATGCAATATAAAACATGTTTATTGTTGAGGTAACAATTTCATGGAGTACAGAAATGTGCTTAATCAGATCCCATCAATGCTAATAACTATGTTCATTTACAAAAGTCTAAATCAGTTTCATAACTGGAGGAACTAAGATTTGGATTTGGAAATTGTGCTATATCAGTCTGTCTCTGGCTAAAACTGTGGATAAATCCTAATTCATTGTTGCATGTCAGAGTGATATTCTCATTTAAAAAGCTCAGAAATGGGATTAAAAGTGCGTTAAAGAATAAATTGTGACAATGTTTTTATTAAAAGACGGTGTATATTTTGTTATTGACTCATGTACACATATAAATGACAGGTCATGCTCCTTTTAATCTGAAAAAAGGGAGAGAGAGAGAAACCATTAGTCCTTTTAATTCCAAGGACACACAGTAATGAAATTACATGTCTTATCACGTCAGTACCGACGGAAAAAATAGCTTTTGCAAAAAGTAATTACAATGACCCTGGGTTTTAAAAGCCTTTGCTGACAGCTTTCTGTGCCTCTGTGAGCAAAGGCTCATGGTGAAGTATAGGCTTTCTAGTTCGTTTAGTTTCTTGCAATGAAAATACTCGATGTGGTCGATGACATCATTAACTCTGCATTCCACTCAAGATATCAAATTAGCTACAGTTCTAACCCAGAACACGTACATTGTAGTTTCTTCATTTATTTTTGCATTTTTAATTTGTTTCAAATATATTTTCTGTTAATTTCATACAATTAGTCCAAATAACACAATACAATATATCAGTAGTCTGCAATATATTAGGCTGTAGCCAGTAAAAAAAGTTCTTAATTTTGATTACAACTAAGCTCTTGAGATGGAAAGGTTTTCTGACCATGCTTGATTAGGCTTTGTTCCACATATTTTAAACAACTGTGTAGCTGCGTGAACAGTATAATATCAAGATTAAACAGCTTCCCAGGAGACACTACCTCGTGTTCCTGTCTCTGCAGCAGCAAAAATCAGCCTTTAATAAAAAAAGAAGATGAAGAACCATAGGAGCAGTCTGACATACTGTATATGGACACACATGCTCTCACGCAGGCATGTCCACACACTTTTTGCAAATGCAAACGCACTGGGCACACGATGAACACGATGAAGGGCAGCATCGCAGCTGGATGATGTAATCCCCACTGGGCCTCCCAGTCTGATGTCAGCTCCATGCAGAGATGGACCTTCCTTCCCAGCTTTCCCATCACAATTGTATGCATAGCTGCCTTAATTAAATTTGACTTATGATGCTGCCATTACTGGCCTACAGTAGCTCATTAACTAGATGAAGACTGTAGCTTCTCCGCAGAAAAAATAATTAAGAAATGGTGTTTGCGAGAGGCAGGGACCAAGTGCATTAACAATTAAGAGGATGGGGTTTAATAATGAATAGCAATACCATGGACGCGGCTCTTAGACTGTTTTTTTTTTCCAATGCAAACAGCATTGCTCCATTTGAATTAAACCACAGACAATCTAGTTGCTGAATTTGAACTCAAATTATACAAAAATCAATATTGCACATTACTGATCATTCAATTTTTTATTGTTTTTGCAGCCATGTTTCCTCATTCACATACAACTTTATCCACAAAAGCTAGACATAATGGCCCCCTCCTTTGAAAGCTTTCTTATTGTCTTAAATGTTCGTGTGGAGTCTAGAGACACTCTTGATTCTAACCTACAGCATTTATCATTTGAGTTGGAATTCAGAAGACATGGCTTCATGGACACCCCCCGATACTAATTCTTACATACCACAATAAATATTGCAAGTGTGATATTCCTTCTGTGAATTGCAGGTCTCTTAATGCCTGTAACAGTAATCTATACAGTATGAAGTCTTTGTGGTAGGCAGTTGGGTTTCCATTCACTGGGACTTCACAGCCTTGAGGGAGCTGGTTATAAAGTATGTGACGAACCATGTGGAAATATATTGTCCTTTGATGGCTTTTTTTAACCTTTTTTTATACTGCTAGACTTGAGTAACCTCTTTTTAAAACTTTTTAGAGAGGTGTAGAGTTGAGGTCTTTAATACATGTACATTAATATATGTATTAATATATTTATATATGTATATAAATATATATAATATATGTATATTCATATATTTAATACTGCTGATTGCTCCTTCTGCATTGTGGTGCTTGATATTTGAATGCAGTCGTACAGATTCCACTGCCTTTTTGTCATCTAATGATACTGTGCCTTTGACGAAACACCTAGCACCCAGCAGAACATTAACGATTCATCCATTCAGGCAGAAATGGTTTAAAATGATCTAGCAAAAGAAATATTATGTATATCTAAAGAATTGAAAGTCTAAAATGAAATGTGAACACAAGCAGCATCAACACTACACTACAGGAATGATACTGTTTTTCCAGGACTTTTATCCATGTGTATAATGAATGTAATGGATAGTGTCTAGTTCCATCCACCAAAGAATGAGGAGAGCAGGAAAGGTCTGGCTAAATTAATGTCTATTGAGTATACAGTGTAGAATTACAGTAACTTCAGTCTCATGATAAATTGCACCATTCTCTTTTTACGTCCACACAGTCTCAGTAATGGCTGCTCAGGAGTATGAGGACCTGAGGGAGCAGTTGGATCTGGAACAGAGCCTGAGGCAGAAAGCCGAGTCCTACGCTCATGAGGTATGATGGGAAAGCAGAGCCTGGATGGTATCTGTGTCAGAGCAGTGCCAAGAGTGGCGCTAGAATGCATGTATTGCAGACATGGTTGGAAACCAAATCTAGATTTGTATAATTGTGCCACCAGCTTCATAACCTATGCAACTACATACAGTAGCAAATTGTACTTATTTATAGAACATTTATGTTTGAAAAGTTACTGTTGCATTATCTGCAACATCAGAAAACTGCATCTACTGAAAAATGTTTTCCCCGTGATTCCCGCTAGAAACAAAAGATGCATCCAGTGCACAAGGCAAGATATGTCCATTACATGAGACCCATTGCGGTGCATATAGGTTTGAGTATACAGGTCTGAATTTTTCAATTGGATTTTTAATTAATATTAATTTTATTGAGGTGATCTTTCTATATACCAGTAATTTTAGAATAAAGCTGAAGGTATAAAATCTCATTTTTAGACGCGTACTGAAGTGGATTTCTACGTCAGCAAGGGGACTTTTGCTGTTCTGTCAATCCATCAACTTTACAGTACACTCTATTGTTGTCCTACATGTAGACTAGACTTAAATATACATATATATATATACGGTATGTTGCAGCTGATAAGTCTGTGTGGTTACATACACTGTTATTTGATTTTGCTGACCAGTGTTCTGTGACCTCAAGATCTAATTTTCCAGAATTCAGCTGAGAGACGCCATGGCTTGTGGCAGCCAGTTTCTTAGGCAAGGACAATTCTCTACATCACCCTGGATGCAGCATGGTTTTTAGCCCTCCTTCCTGCACTGTGTTTGGGTGGAGGACACTGGAAAGTCTCCACTCACTTGGAATCATCCCAGACTGCAGTGCGAGCTGGTGCTGAAAGCAGGCTATGATCTACATTGACAGATGCTGGTCAAGCAGAAGGAAGCCAACAGGCAGAGCATGATTCTTCTGCAGCAGGCAGACCCAAGCCTTCAGCTCCTCAAAGCCCTGGAGGATGTGGCCAGTATCACCAAAACACTGGAGGACGAGCGTCAACAACACCAGCAGAAAGTAAGCACCCAACCGGAGGGTTTCTGTTACGCTTCTGTAGGGCCTGAACTGAGAGATCCAAATGCAGATTTACTGTGCCTCTTGGACGGATATAAGCAGCCTTTGTAGAGACCCACAGACTTGAATGGAATATTTCTGGTGCTAAATTGTAGTCTGTTAAGTGTCATGTCAACGTATGAGTCAAGTCTCTTGGTATTAGTCTCTGAATAAAGACACCCTCACATTTGTATTACACGTAAAAAGGATCTTTTCCTCTTCATTACAGGGTACCTTCTATTAAATGATTAAAATAAGGTTTAATTATGTTTATGCACACTAATTATGGCACTTCTTCACATCCCATCACACATTCCATCACACTATGAATTTGTAGAGAAAGGTCTGTACAACAGTTTGCGTTGCAGCCTCTGAATTTGCTCATTGGAGTTCATGTTTTTCTCCCAGGAAAGTAACTCCAATGTCAAAAAAGTTATTTTTCATTCATAATTTCATGCCTTGTTGCTTTGACTTCCACACAAATACCATAAATTGAGATTGCTGCCTATGATCATTTTGCTGCAAGATCAGTTCTGTTTTCCTGCACCCATGAGTTGACATACAGTATTTGGTCAGTTTCCACACATGGGATTTGAACTATACATTAAACAAACAAAGGAGTAAATGACACTTCAATTTTCTCTAACATAATGTCACAGCTTATTACCCATAAACTCATATGACTTATACAATTGTGTGATATGCAGATGTTTTGTCTGAAACACCAATGTGAAAACTATAATTATGCATTAGCATAAATATTAGAATCCCTCACTAGTGTTGTATATCACATAAAGCATACTGTAGGTGTAAAAATATATTATATTGTAAAGCTTACGGCCGACAGGCACTGTGTAAGAGCCGGCGTACCAGAGCAGGTGATGTCACCGCCCTTCCCTGTGATAGCAGGACCACAGCTACTGGGCTGTGGAGAGATCTCTCTTTAGCTCACGGGGCTGGGTCCCTGCTGAGTGACGCGGGAGTCCCTTGTTCAAGCCCCCGACGGTGGGGGGCCGACCTAATGCGGCAAGGGCGCCCGCCTGAGCCCCCGTTGCGTTACAATATATTAACAAAGGTGCACAATTAATTATTTTTAAAATGTTAATCATTAATGAAACACTTGGTTGCCAAAAGATGCTTTTGGTACAAGGTTGAAGGGATTATATGGTAAATACTGAGGCAAGCTAACAGTGACTTGCAAGGGAGCATAGCAGAAAACCACCATTCTCTCTATGCATTAAGTAGAAGTCCACAGGGCGTGTGAGTGCTGTAGACTTTAAAGCAATTCAGTGTCATGGAATGACAAACAGGCCACATGCTGCAGTAATTTAATCTGAGGTTATCAGGCACAGGTGGAATTTCTATAACAATAACGTAGAATTCTGTTCTCGCTCGTTCTTAATGACCCTCCTGGGGCATTTGTAGAAACACGAGCAAATGATTACAAGGAAGGTCGGAATGAAATACGGCCAATGAATACTTCAAACAGACTTTGGTATTACTCATATTCATTGATGATTGTGATGGAATGACACATCTTACAGAAACATGTATAATAGATTGCCCTCCCCGTAGTGCTGCGGTTATGATACATCTTTAGATGTGTTAGATTGATTGTGACTTTAATGCCACTGTGTCGTAACACAATGCCACTCACCTTTACACATTCATTACACCTAAAATGATCAGGAAAATTTGGAATTTTATAGCCTTCCTTTATTAATTGAAGTACTGTGAGCTGTCTTGCGAAGGTTAAATTCCCAGTTTGTATCTTGAACAAGAAGTTATCAAGTTCACAGGCATGTGGAATAAGGCTGCTGTGGTACAATAGTTTGTTGAAGTGTTTATGTGTCTTCATGCTGTTGAATCGGATCTACCTAAATATAGCACTGATCACCTCCATTCATTCCTTCCACTTCTGTCATTGATTATGAAGCTTATATTAGCTGATATTGGATGAAGTGGTTAGAAAATGGATGGCTGGTTGTTCACTGATCACATGCGAGTACTGCAATGTGTTTTAGTCCTGCAGCTTGAGTTCCGAACTCTGCTGTGAAACCACCCTCATTCAGCAGCCAGTAATAAAATACATCTCTAGAAAAAAGACACAAAACCACAAACTGAAAATCCTTCTTTTTAGACTGCCCAGCTGTTCTGCTTGTGAGGGTGCACAACCACCTACTTTATGCCCTAGAAACAAATCCTGCTCTCCTCTAATCCTGAAGCTTGGCCCGCCAGACTGTGCAGTCTGCTCACCAGAGTGCAGTAAACCCCAGAAGAAAGAAATCAGTCTCCCTGTTATGTAATAAAGGGCAAATATTAAACCTGACACACCACCTTCTCTGTGTATTCTTGAATGTGTCTTGGAGGTTTATGAAGTATTTGTAATTCCAATGATGTTATATGATTAAGTGTTATAAATGCATATAAAACAATATGATATATGTCTGAGACTGATGTACAGTACTTTGTTTGGCCTTGTTATACAGTCACAGTAGAAACGATAGCCATGTTTACATTTAAATGGAAAGATTCACATCATTATTCGCAGGGTGTATGTCATGAACTTGACATTTAAAGCCCCAAGGCAGACTAAATTCAGGTTGTTTTAAAACTGGTTTAATCAAGGGGACGGCGTGGAAGGCAGGAAAAAAACAGGAATAATTTCTTATATAAGTTTTAGTTTGCAAACCTGGCTCTGCACTTAGCCTTAGACATCCAACAAAGCCCTGCAAACAGGCTCCATTTCTCCCGGCAGGTAAAGGAATTGGAACTTGAGCTGCAAGAGTCTGCCCTCCGGCTCAAGCTCTCAGAGCAGCAGAAACACCTGGAGCTGGTGGAGGAGGAGAAGCGGGAGGCAGATGTTCGGATTCAGCAGCTGGAGGAGAAGAACAGCCAACTGGAGAGCCAAGGTGGGGGGGCAGCACTGTGGAGCAGAGTAGCGGATTTCGACCCCAGTTGTTGAAATTGCTCAGCATGTGTTAAAATGTTGCAGTGGCTGGGCCAGCCAAAACAAACAGTAGAGCAACATGACCTAGAAAATGCAAATTGATGTGGAAACATCTGGAAATTCTTAATGAGAATAACTATATGAATAATGAGATTCTGTCCAGAGATTGGATATTGGATATTCCATAGTATCTTGCTGAATCCCTGCTGTGTTGCTATTACTTTGTTGCTTTAGGTCACAGTTTATTGGTAGACCAGTGGGTGGCACTACTCCCTCTGGACCAGAACTTCTAAGCCTATGCTCCAGGATGATGACAGGAAACCGTGCTGTAAGCGGTTCTATCCTTGGATGAGCCATTAAACTTTCCTGTCTTTCATTAAAGATCCCATGGCACTGTTCGTAAAAAGAGCAGGGATGCTATCCTCAGTGCCCTGACTAAATTACAGTCTTGGCCAACACAATTTGGCCTCCTAAATTCAGCTGGTGAAATAGTTTGTGAAATCCCTACCTGATCTTTCGCTTAATGGTTTTGTTGGTAAGTTATGTCTGTCACAGGTAAGATAGGTGGGTGCAATACTTCAGTGATTAATTGGATTCTGTCATTTATGTAAAGTATCTTGGCATATCTTTTGATGAAAGTGTTTTATGCATTTTATTAGTAAAGCCTTTCATCACAACACAAATGAATGATTATTGTATCTTTCCACAGTGCAGGAGCTGCTAGATGTCCAGAAGACCCAGCCGTCAGAACTGGGGACAGCTCC